CGATGTAAGACTGATCACCCTCCTGACACTGAACAACATACACAACATTACTCTGTTTGTGCCGGGGGACTGGATCTTTGGGATGAACCAGTCTTTAATGTATTTTGGGGTTTAAAAGCCACTGGGACGTTATGTTTAGAAAATAAACGTCTCAGTTTCTCTGATACTCCCTCAACATCTGGAATGACCACTGGTCTGGGTCTGGGTTCCTCCTTCTCACCTGTTGGCTGACTGGAGTCCTGTTTGGGTTTCTTCTCTGCTTTCAGGAAGGCCCAGTTAGGATATCCACATTGCTCTAGAGCCTGTCTTGTGTAGGATTTCTCCTTCTGCCTGGCTCCTGAGCTAGTGGGGACGCTGTCTGCTCTGTGGTACAGAGTCCTGATGACTCCTAACTTGTGCTCCAAAGGGTGATGGGAGTCAAACTGCAAATACTGGTCTGTGTGTGTGGGTTTGGGGTACACCTCAGTTTGCAAATGTCCTCTATCAGAGACTGAGACCTCACAGTCCAAGAAAGCCAACTTGCCATTTTTTTCATCTTCTCGTGTGAACTTGATGTATTTATCCACAGAGTTGATGTGGTCAGTAAAATGTTGGACTTCCTGAGATTTAATTTTAACCCAGGTGTCGTCAACATACCTGAACCAATGACTTGGTGGTGTCCCTGAAAAGGACGTCAAGGCTCTCTTTTCTACCTCCTCCATGTACAGGTTGGCAACAATAGGAGAAATTGGAGACCCCATAGCACACCCATGTTTCTGCCTATAATATTGCTCCCCATATGTGAAGTAGGTTGACTGCAGGCACAGTTTCAAGAGTTGACACAGTTGTTCTGTGGAAAGCGTGGTCCTGCTGCTCAGAGTGGTGTCTGATTTTAATCTTAAACTGACCACCTCTACTGCATCATCAACAGGAAGTAAAGAGTGATGTGACATCAAAAGAGACCATTGTTTCATCAGTCTCCATGACGACATCTCTCACCTTATCCACAAAGTCCATGGTGTTCTGTATGTGGTGTTCTGAGCTGCCAACTAAAGGGATGAGTACAGACGCCAGATATTTGGAAACATTGTAAGTGACAGAGTTAATCATGCTAACAATTACATCTCAGCACCTCAGACTCAGGAAGTCTTTCGGATGAAAGACGAAACGTTTCTACATTTTTTTGTTGTTTCGCTTTGTTTTGATTTTTGAATGTCTATAGGACCAGATTAAACTTTGTTAGACATGCCCACCACTGTTTCTAGCAATACAAGTCAATCTTGGCAATGAGTTATAATAAAAGTCCGCAAAAAGAGATTTTAAATACCTTGGTTCCCAGGATTATCTGTCTGTCTCCGGGCACAAAAAGGGAACTGAGGGCGTACTCACAGGCCATGGTGCGGATCACCTGCAGGGTGGACCTGGGACGGGCAGCCCAATGATCAGTACCAGTATAGCTTTTTAAAACATCCAGGACTCTCTGGCTCCAGAGCAGTCTTACCTGTTCCAGACTTTGACTGTGTCCCCCGAGGCAGAGAGGACAGCCATGTTGTCTGAGCTGAAGGCCAGCGTGCGGACATCTGTGCGGTGGCCGCCAAGCGTCAGACGAGCCATCTTATTGGCGGTGGGGGTCTTGTCTGTGGTCTTCATGCTGTAGGTCTCAATGGTGTTGTTTTGCAGTAGCAGCGCCACCTTCAGCTCTCCACCTGCACATGACAGACAGGCCACCCACCTGAAAGAGGACATAGGTTTTAGTATGTCATGGTTTTTATTTTAATCCCCTAAATCTGGGGTCATTTTTGTGACCTGTGCCCCACACAAACCTGATTTTGGCAGAAGCCTTGATGTTTGTTAGTCTGATGATCTCGTCCTTCAGCGTCCTCTTCACTGTTAGCTCTGGTGCCTCTTCGCCTGCATCTCCCTGAGCTCTGCAGCAGGAGGCAGCAAAACAACATGTTCCACCAACTGACCTCCCACTGCAGTTACACACCTGAGCTGGAGGTTTTAGAACTAGGCTCTCAATGTAATTGTTAGGTGGTCAAAAAATAAAATAAATTGACAGTGACAGAAGTACCTTATTTTACTAATTATTTATCCTAACTCTATTTTATTTTGTTATTTGTGTTAAAACACTTAATTTAAGATGGGAGTATAAGATTCAAATTTTAATTTTTACATAATTTAAAGTTAAAGTATCTGTTCTTAAACAAAAACTTAGCTAGATTGATAAGAGCTAAAGTTAGCTTGCAAAAAGAAAAAACAACAACTAGCATTTGATGTGATCCTGAAAGAGGATTACAGTAAAACAACATTTGTTTTTGTCAGTATCAACACACCAGGGTGAATAATAAAATAGGTTGTAAAAGTATTTAATTATTTTAGTCTGACTCAAAGGACGCACACAAGTTAGTAACCTAAACAAAGCCTTTGGTACATTTGCAAATAGAGTGAATTATTGTGGGACAAAACTTATTGTTGTAACATATTTGTCTTGTTTCCAGATGGAACTGGATCAGTGAACGCAACAGCAAGACAAATCACAAAGTCTTTGCAAAGTCTCATCTGTGCTTACTTGGCTGCTTTCTTTTTGGCTTTCTTCAGCTTCCTGCTCATTTTTCTTTGCACCTCTGCCTCCGACAGCACTGTGAACAACTCCAGAACCGAATCATTGCCCTGATCCAGAGAAACAGACCATACAGTGTTGTCAATGCAAGGAATGATTAAACATCAAACCTGAGTCTGTTGAAAGACTTCAACTGTCAAAAAAAGTGTAGCTGATAAATAAAAAATACACAAAACACAGACACAAGATAGTTAACATAATGAACTGTATGAAACAGAATCGATGATGAGATGAGAAGATTTAGCCTTTTCAGTCGTTTACGTCACATCTGGACTGGTAGGTTATAAAGTTTTACCTTAGAAAGAAAACACGTTAAAAAAAATTGTTTAAAAAATAGAAAAAAATGTTCTCTGTGAAAATGCAGACTACTAAGGAGAGCTGAAAAGCGAAAAGAAGCCAATGCAGCTAAACACAGCAAACATCCATTCATCCATCCATCTACCACACCATCCAGGACATTTACCACACCATCCAGGACATTTACCA